GCGACACATTGCCTCTGAGGTGTCTCTGAATATCGGTTACGGCTCAACAGCACACGGGCCTCCCTTTTCCCAAAAGGGAAGCTTTTGATGCACACCCCCTCCTCACCTGTGTCGTGGGGGGGCAAAGGCCATTTTTAAAGTCACAGTGCACTTTCGGCCTGGAACACATCATTCATCCGTCTCATAACTACAAATTATTGCAGACCCCCTTAGACCTGTATAAAGGCTTTGTGGCGGGCTGGCTGGCAAAATGGATTTGTACTCCACAAAAGCTTGCACTGACATAAATCTGTTAGTCTCTGAGGTGCCGCTATACCTTTGCTTCTAATTCACAGAGCTGTCTATAACAGTGTTTAAGATTCTTTTAAACATAAAACCACAAATAAATTAACTGACTGCCAACTTACTTGCTGTAAGGCATGTCATCCAGGGTTTGTTTGTTTTTTCCCCATCCAAGATGCTCACCTAGCTCTTTCTCATAGAGGGAGACCCGAGTCTGTCCAGAAATTTCTCCCAGCCTTACCACTCTCAGGGGGCTCGTACACCATTATATTCCAGGATGCTCTGATGTCCTGGAAGGAAGGCGTTAATCCTCCTGCATTTATCAGAAGCAGAATGCCACCTCTTTCTGTCCAGCTCCTTTTTCTGTGGTAGGGTATTGACTTCCAACAACCCATCTTCATTAGAAAGGGGATGCCGAGTCACAATTACAACACACTAATCATAGTCATTAACATAGCATAGATAAAGGGAGCACATGTGTTTGTTTGTTTCAAAGCTTGGTAAAACTGTTTCCAGACTTGTAATTATTCCCACTTCCTGGTATAGAGATAGGCAAGCTAACAAAACAGACCAAAAGAACCCCAGCCTTGTTAATTGATTCCTGCATCTTCATAAGCGAGGGGGAGGTTTCATGCCTTATAGAGCAGAAGAATCAGGTTTGCTACATGCGCACTGACTAAAGCACCGTGGGAGTTCAGTGGGAAAAGACAGGCTCCCATACACGACAAGAACCTGTGAATCCATGTATCTGTCTACTCAGCCCTGCACAATCTTTGCCGAGTGGCCAGCTGGATGCCTGCAGAAAATCCAAGAGCAAACCATGCAGGTGTCTTAGCATCTTTCCATTCATGGCATGTGTCCCACCAACTAGGATTCAAAGGCAAACAGTCTCTCTGAGATCAATATGGTTGACATGCATGCTGTGTGCCGAGACATGCTGCTTTTAACCAATCCTGAATCTTTTACAACCTAGCTTCAGCAGATGACTTTATGCTCTCACTGTGTTAAAGAATCAAGGCTTCTTCCTACCCACCTTCTTCAGACCATACTTACTTTTGTACAACTCTGCCCTGGCCCCCCTTTTTCATCTCTCTCTCGGCATGACTTGTTTCGTGAGACTGTAGTGACGACAAAAGCCGTCATGATTGCCATCATGACCTCCCTGGAGGAAAACAGTGATATCAATGTGACAAATCATAAATTAAAAATAACCATTTGCACACACCATGGCAGCCTTAAAATACTTCAGATGCTGCATCAAGAAATAATGTAACATGGAGTTGCTCCAAGATTCTGAGCTGATTCACAGGAGCATCTCTCAAATCCTCATAATGCATTCCACGATAGGATGGTCTCCAGAGGCATACTGCCTATTAGAGAGCAAATCATGTGATACTTGATATGCAGAGAAACACTCAAGAGTGTGAAAAGGATCAACATAGTACTAATTACAAGTCATAGCAGGACAAGAAATGAGGCAAATTCATTGGACGACTCCCTTCTATTGAGCATATGGCACCATATGGACAGACAACAGTTTCACAAACAGTAGAAACCTTTTTTAATTGCTGCACTACAATGAGTATAATTAAAATGTGTCCAGAAAGAGTTTTCTCTTATAAGGGTAAAAGTGGTGGACCTATGGAAACTTCCAATGCTGATATTTGTATTTTAAAAAATTACCAGAGTTTCTGTATTAAATTGTATGTTAGGGCAAATGAATTAAAGCTGTACTGCGTAAAAAACACGTCATTCACCATTCAATAAAACAGTACATTTGACAAAAATACAATATGTACTGGCAGGTACACATGTGGCTTACTTGCGTATGTACTATGAACCCATATAAACATTTTCTTTATCTTAAAAAGAGTCACAAAACAGAATCGAAAACAGACAGCTTCATATTACAGTATTTTAATCAAGAAGGTGGGGACGACAACTTTGAAAGAATGAAATTAATTAAAACAAACGAAAAGTTAAGGGTATGACTCATAGCAGGGGTAGGTAACCTCCAGAGGTTGAGCGCCGTGCCTGCCCACCTCAAAGGGCTGAATCTGCTCTCACAACCCCAACCTCCCAATGTCTTACAAAAGAAAAGGGGGGCACTGGCGGCTTTAGTGGCAGGCGTGCTGGGGACCCATATAAAGCATGGCAAAGTTGCGCCATAGACTTCAAAGAGGGCAAAAGAGGACTTTCTGAGCCCAAATATACATCTATATGTAAGTAGGCATCCTTCAGTCTCAAGAGACTATGGTCACGTGCTCTGAATAGAGGACTGGGAACAGCGTCTCGTGTAGCTGAGGAGGCCAATCCGAGAGTGACCGTCCCTTCCATAGTGAAGACAAATATAATCTGTCCCCTGTCCAGCTCCCTGATTTTGGCTGGTTTCGGGACTGCCTCTTGGCCTCGGCCTGCTGGACAAGGGTCTCTTCAAAATCCAGACTGAACGCTCAGAAGTCCAGGTTTCCCATCTGTTGAGATCCATTCCTAAGGCCTTCAGATCCCACTTGCAGACGTCCTTGTATCGCATCTGTGGTCTCCCTCTGGGGCGATTTCCCTGCACTAATTCTCCATACAGGAGATCTTTTGGAATCCGACCATCAGCCATTCTCACAACAAGCCTATGCCAACATAGATGTCGCTGTTTCAGTAATGTATACATACATACTAATTTCTAATTTGGGGGAAAACCTTTGGTGGTATTGAGAAGCTGTATTTGGGCTCTTAGTCACATGCCACTCAAGGGCCACGTAAGACACACTGTTGCCTGTAAAGTATTTGACAAAATCAGACATTTTATTCAGTTACCAAAAGCCCTCCAATTACCATGGGTGTTAGGGATATGAAACACTGGCAAACAGAAAAGTAAGGGCTGCATAATTTCCTGTTGAATATATTGTATGTTTCTATGGAAATAACGAATGTGTTTATCATCTTGTTTTCTCTCTCTCTTCTCTCCTTCCTTATTTCCATAGAGGTACCATACATGTTCAACTTACTGCAAATAAGTTGGTTCTTATCTAGGGCAGCGGAAGTTAAAAATAGGTTTGGGAATGCAAAAAGGAGAGCAATTTGGGGGCAGGATGGAAACAGAATACTGTAGACTTGGGATGAGGAAGGAGTTGCTGGGAGAAACAACGAATTGAGATTCCTGGGCCCAAATCCTGCCAGCTCTTGCCGGGCCTGCAAGAGCTGCTAATTAACGAGAGGTGGCCTATTGTGTCATTGAGCATGCCTCGTTGTTGTTTAGTCATGAAGTCGTGTCCGACTCTTTGTGACCCCATGGACCAGAGCATGCCAGGCCCTCCTGTCTTCCCCCGCCTAACGGGCGAAACGTTAGGAAGAACAACCTTTGAAACACGGCCAAAGAGCCTGAAAAACCCACAACAACCATTAAATGGCAATGCTCAGATATCCAGTGTGATCTGAAATGGTTTTGCCTTCTTAACGTCGTTCCCTTCTCCTCCTGCCTTCACACTTTCCCAACATCAGGGTCTTTTCCAGGGAGTCTTCTCTTCTCATGAGATGGCCAAAGTATCTCTGCCTCATTAGTTAGCAGTAATTCGTCCCCTGAGCCTCTCACGCCACCGACCGTTGGCCTGTAGAGTCGGCAAAGAGCCAAAGGTCTGAAAAGGTTGAAAGAGAAGTCCTAGAAAATCAGGGTCTCTCCCAGCAAGAGGGGTGGGTGTGGGTGATGGTGTTGCCGTTTCACTCCTGAGCAGCCCACAACTGCCAGCGGGAACAGCCGCTCACGCCTGGGGAAAAATACTGTTGGGGAAAAAACAAAACAAAACCATTGAGTGGATGATTGTCTGAAGAATAAGATTATAGCCTGAAACCAAGGCTTGCTATACCCACGAGTGAGTTAGCTGTGGGTCACATCCATCCTGCTGACCGTTTTTAGCATTCAAATTCCAAAGGAAGAGGTCAGGAAGGAATAACATTGAGGTAACTTTTTCCATTTCCAGAAAACGACTTTCCCTGAAAGTGGCCTTTTATGTGGTCCCCCGTTTGTTTATTTATTTATTCATGATTGATTTTCTTCTTTTCCCCCCTTCAGGGGTTATTCATTGACTTTATTTTGAAATAACCTTTATAGACATTATTATTTTTGGTCCGAGGTACTAATAGACCTTGGGCAAGTTACTTTTTGGATGACCCCCCCTCCACTCCCACAAACGTGTATTGCAAAAGTAACGTTTCGGCCCAGCGTGAGGGGAAAGCGTGACGACCGCCCCCGAATTCCCCTCACACCCTTCGCCCCGCCCCCTCGGCGGACGTCACTCTAGCTGCCTCGGGATGATGTCACAGGCCGCTCCTCCCCCTCCTACTCCCCCTCCCCTAACTGTAACCAAGCCTCGCGGGAGGTCAAACGCGAACCGAGGTAGCTCCTCCTCCCGCCGTCGCCTTCGTTCGGAGGCGATTCGGTCACGTGCTCCCCCGCGAGCACGCGCCTCGTGCCAGGGAGAGGGAGAGAGAGGATCGAAAAAAAGAGGCGCAGGGCGAGAAAGCCCCGCCTTCCTCGCGCCCGTCAGTGTCACGTGGGAGGAGGGAGGGGACACAGGGAAGCCGAGAAAGGAAAAGAGAGGCCGGGCGTGCTCTCTACGTACTCCTGCCGCCCGGAGTGGTGTGGCCACGGCGCATGCGCGAGGGCCGAGCGGCTGGCTGGCTCTGGTGGCGTCGGTCGAGTCACGTGCCGAGGGAGGGGCTCTGCGGCCTCGCGGAGGAGCGAGAGCGAGAGCGCGCGCGCGGGGGGGGAAGGGCGAGAGGAGAGCAGTCACGTGACCAGTGGTGGGCGCCGCTGCTGCCGCCGCCGCCGCCGCTTTGTGAGCACGTTGGGCAGGTAACGAGCGCGCGTCTGCGGCGCGGGGGGTGAGTGTGTGTGAGTGTGTGGTGGGGGAGGGGAACAGGAGAGATAGAGAGGCGGGATGGTTTTCCCTGTAGTGATGTATGGAAGCGAGAGCTGGACCATAAAGAAAGCAGACCGCCGAAGAATTG